CTATTTTCACTCTCTAATATATTTATCCCTGGAAAACTTAAAAGAACATCTAATACATAAAATGAAAATGTTTTTCCTGTGAACACGCAACTTTAAAAACACAATACAAAATGATTGAAGTGGAAAACCCCCGAGTTATCAGATAATAAAATTCCAGCATACCATTCTTCAGGGTGAGGTGGAGATGACAGCCAGCAGAATCCTGATCAGCAAGCCTAAGCCACTGCTGAGTTATATTCCTCCAGGCAGGGCTAAAACAGGGACTACTGACTCCACTCTGACCAAGATAACAGTTTTAAAGCTTACGTTCTGAAAACAACATCTAGCCATGATGCAGCAAGCACCATGCCCTTGCGCTAAAAATAAGTCTGTGGACTGCAAAGAATGAACCGCTACCTAGATTCCAGCACCCAAAGTGACCTCTAGAATGCTTCCTATGAGGTAAAAAAGCAAAAATAAAAAACAAAAAAGAAGTTAGTTCTTACATTCCTTCCTTGACCACACCACACCATCAGACCACAAACAGCTACAGAAACATCAGAGCAGCTCTGCTCACACGGCTCCCTATGGAAATCTGGTTTCAGGTTTTTGTAGGAAATCCTTAAACGAATGGTCAGTCACAAATCCAATCCATCTGCACATAGGCAGTACAGCGGGATGTCTTTGGAAAGATGCCATGCACAGCACAGAAATTATATATTCCCAAATTTCCTACTTTTATTTCTCCTTTAGGAGACTGTCTTTTACAGCCTACTGAAAGCATTCGTAAAATGCATTCGCCTATGGAGACGTACGTCTCATTTACTACACAAAGTTGCATTCTTTCCCCTGATCTAAATGGCTAATGGCAGGTATGACGGGATGAGTCTCTTAAATGCCCTCACGAACTCTGGCGAGTGGCACATGTTTACTAGTCCACAGCTCTCCAATATTAAGCATAGTCCACCTTTGCAAGTCAAAAATCATCTTCAAAAATAGCCTGTTTGTATGACAACATTGTTCCCCTTCCCCAGTGACACAGGAATGTCAGTTATGCTAAGAACAGAAAAACTGATGAGAATCAGTCAAATGGCTGACAAAGGTGGATTTTTACTCTTTAAAATCTCACGGAAAACTAAATTTGATGGGTGCACTATTAAAATTCCTTTATAAAAATGTTTAACATGTTAAAAGTCATATGTAACCTTTAAGACTATATTTCCTATTATTTAAACCATGCATTTAAAAATTAGTAAATGCACTCTTTCCGTCTCCGGCCGCCACAGGGAAAGGAGATACTGCCATGTCTGCGCATGTGCAATGGATAGTGGTTTGGAACTTCTCCAGTTTCCTGATCAAGGGGAATAAGAGAACGCACAGCAATCCGCAGGCCAGCAACTCCTGCTACAACAGGTTGACTCACAGCAAGACTATGGGAGTGCAGGCTGTGGCTGGGGGCAAAGGGGTCATGGTGGTCATGAATCCCAGACCTGGTCAGCTAAAACCAGACACTTCTTACGTAAGGACCACCATCAACAAGAATGCACGGCCACCCTCAGCAAATCAGGCACATGATTCAAAAGAACAAACACCCCCTTATTCTGGGCATGGCGGCCATCCCCAGGGCCAGTGTCATCCTGACAAGCCAGAAGCCTGTGGTGGCGAAGAGGAAAGGGACAGCCCCACCAGAGTTCCTGAGCCCCATACTCCAGAAGCAACAGAGTCCACTGACTTTTTCAACCACCAAAACATTAGTAAATGCATTACAAAACAATCAAAAAGATTCCTTTCTGGTGTTTTATTTAGCATTAACAACAGCTTCACCCAGAACTTTAGCTCATCCCATGCTTAATTCAAATGATTGTATTAGGACCAGCTAATTATATTAATGCATATCAAATGTTATTAGCATTGAACACTAGTCAAAAGTTAAAAATGTAAAGCACATACGTGACCTATCTTAAAGAAGTTAAAATATAGTTGGAGAGGCAACTATAAGGAAATGCAATGATTAGTTCAACTTATGAAATGAGCTACATACACTTCAGAGGTATGACTCTCAAGCTAAAACAATGCATAAAAATAATGAAAGAATGAAGCCGGGAATGGTGGTGAATTCCTTTCATCCCAACACCGGGGAGGTGGACAGCCAAGGACACAAAGTAAGACCTTGTCTAAAACAAGGGAGGGGAGGCTAAATAACCCAGGGCATTATCAGTTGGAAATTAGAAACTTTGTTTATAATCAAGAGTCAGCTGTTCCATCCTAATTCAAGCAGTTAATTCTTTCCAAATCCGATAACTTTCGAGCCTCAACTTTTTCAAGGAGATAAGACTGATTCTTATCTCCAATGCAGAAACTTGGAGCTTCACAGGCCTGGGATGGTCAATTAGGCATCTATACAAAACAATAGAAACTGTTTATTTTTTCACACCGAACTACAAACACGGCTGGAATAAACTTAGGTAAAGGGATCACGTGGAGAAAAGCGCTATGATCTCAAAGAGATAATGTTTGACAGAATTGGTAGAATTCTCTTTGCTGTGGTTCTAAGACACTCTTCTACTGTCTCCAAAAGTGAAGATGTAAAACACAATTCTCGTGTGAAATTGCAAATATTTTACAATCATTGTGACTATTTTTTATTTAGGGTGCATGAGAGGAACATGTGAGATCCTCCCCACTTTGGAAGCCTTGGGAAAGATCTTTGGGGTGAAACTTGAAAAGCAGGGAAATTTGCAGACTGGCCTTCTAGCGAACACATGAGGGTTTCAAAGCATCAGAAAGAGAAGGAAGGCAGTCGACGGTGGTCGGGACACTCTGGCTTACAGATGGAAAGGCGTATAATGTTTTAAGCTAAGTTAACAGTGCTTCAGCAGTGACTAATATGGGGAGGGTTGTTTTGTGCAGTTCTGGGGATTGATCCTCAGGCCTCACACATGCTAGGTAAGCACTCTACTACTGAGCTACATTCCCAGCCTGAGCGATTTTGTGTGTTAGTTTGCTAAGATGGGAGTCCATGCTTAAGGAAGACATCGGACTATGAAGGCATGGGAAAACAAAAGACAGATCCTCAGAGAGGCTTTTTATACATACCAGATTTTTCAGGATCTTTAGAAATGTAGAATTTAAAACTAAAGCTGGGTGTGGCAGTTCACAACTAGGTATATAATCCTAGCACTTGAAGCAGGACCATCTCAAGTTCTAGGCTAGCCTGGGCCTTAGTGACATTTTTTCCATAACAACAACAGAGCTGCCCGTGAAAGCTATGAAGTGAGACCAATCAATACTAAATTATACATGAGATTGCCTAAGTTAAAATAGCAGGATCTCAGAGCTCCTAAACTGGTAACACACGTAAAAAAGAAAAATCCTTTAACGAATATCTAAAACAAGCATACTTAGGAAAAGTTATATTAAAATACCTTTTAATGAAAAACCCTTAAAACTGGGTGATACATCCCTTGGAAAACTCCCATCCCAGAACCTCCTAGTGTGCTAAGACCTAGGTATTTGGCCTGCTTCAAACTCCAGATCAAATCTGTCATTTCATCAGTGCCATTTGTTTCCAAGATAAGATTTTTGGGTGTGTGTGGGCAAATTCAGTTTTTGAAAGTATATTCTCAAGTTGGGCGTTTCAGTACCAAGGAAAGCCGAGTTTTCATTTCTCAGGCACACTTCCAGCTGAGAATCGATTCAAATCTCCCAGACAGCCACACCCAAGAAGTCCGAGCACTTTTTAAAAAGTCAATTAGTTGTCAGGATCGACTCGTATGCTACATCTCACTTTTGAAGATAAAATGCTTTTCTATTAATCCTTATCAAGAGCCATTCGGAAAAAGAAAATACCAGCAATTTCAGTAAACTCGCTTTTTCCACCTTTTGATACAAACTTTTGCATATAAGAAGTTAAAATCTTAAATGATCGATCTCTGAAGTTCTAATATTTTACATATCTACTGAACGACTCTAACTAAAAATACTCCTCTGTAAAGTCGACTTAGTCCCCTCGAGAGACAAACGTAACCCCAATCTCTCCTCCCCGTTCAAACATCAAAGAAAAAGTTCTAATTAGAGGAGCGCCCTCTGAGCTGCTAAATTTGAATGGGTTCTTCCTACTAAACACGTAGCCGTACAGCTGCAACAACAGCTGCAGAGGGCGGCTGTGCTACGGTTTTGTTTTTTTTATCAGCAAACTCTCTGGCAAGTTTACGTTAGCAACTAAACATAGTTTCGGAGTCAGCTCTGTGGGGCTCCGGTTTCGCGGGCCCAGGCGTGCGGCGCCAGCGAGCTGAGCATCATCTCCTAAGCTCCAAGTTTAGCAAACAGAGCAAGTTTGCGTCCCGGCCGCCCCAGCCCGCGGCTTCCCAGCCCACAGCCGCCCGCGATCACGCAGGCACACCTGCCCAGGTGTGCTCCCCGCTTCCCCCAAGCTTCCCGCCACCCGCGGGGACGCCTTCTCGGGACGGGCCACGCATGCCCCGAGGCCAGCCCCACTCACCCTGCTCAGCCGCAAGAATCGAGGGTGTCTCGGCGATGCTCTGCCAACCGCTCTCACCGACTTAACAACTATCCAGCTGCCCCAGAACGGCCACTTCCGGCCTCCTCCAGCAAACCGGAAGGAAGCCTAGCCACCATTCCCACCGCCTCCGTGGGACGGCACCGACGGGAGGGGACCCCAGGGAAGATGTCCGAGCGGTTGGCGGGAGCACGGCGCCCATGGGCAGCACAGAGCGCGGAACTTAGAACTGAGAGGGTTGTGTAGAGGATCTCTTGTTCCAATTACTGACTCTTCGTCTTTTTCCCGTCTCTTCTGGAATTGCGATCGTCTCCCCCCTTCCTCGCGCAGATGGTTGCGTCCGTCCCGCCGTTTTCCAACGCCGGCATTCCAGAGCACGGCGAGGGGCGGGGGCCCCGGCTCCAGTCCTTGTAGGGGAATCGCGGAGGGACGCGGGGCCGCACGTGACTGGACCGGCTCCGCCCCCGAGCGCCCGCCGGCGCGGTCCCGGCTGGTACGCGCCTGTGCAGGAAGTTCGCGTGAATCAGCGTCTAGGTCAGCGCCTCGGGGTCCGCTCGGCGCCGAGAGGGCGTGTGCGAGCCTTTTGGAAAGTTGCGAAGTGGCCTTTTATGGAGTACTTCACACTCCACGTGGGAGGGAACACTGAGCTTTCAGGGCCCCGTTGTCTCTTTGGTCCAGATTCCACTCTCGCCCCCCAAAAAAGTTCCCTGGAACTTCCTGCAAGAGTCCCCTTTAGCCCTGATGGTGACTCCTGCTCCACCCATCGCTCGAGGGTGACTTGGTGAATTGGGGCTAAGTGCAGGACCCATTTACCCCTCAGGTCTCCTTTACGTGAGTCAGCTGCCAGCGATGGTTCTGGTTAAAGGGAAAACCTCCTGGACCGCTTCGCCCCTGTGAGGAATCCTGCAGAGGCTGTACCAGCTCGGACCCAGAAGCAGATTGCGACCCTGGCGAGACCAGAGCAGTTGTAGAGTTTCTTCTTCATCTCCAGAGCTCTGTCGCTTGACCCAGGAAAACGAAGGCGCTGTTCTAAATGATACGTGTTAAATAGTCCTAAGACCAGCTGTTTTCTTCATGGAACATACGTGATATGGTTTAAGGTTAACTCAGGTAAAGCCACTGAAGAAAATAAAAGTCCTAATCCTAGAGGTGACAGAAACAAAATTTCCCTCCCTTCTTTGATAATATGAACCATTTGGGGCGCTAACTAAAGATATAAATAATTGGGTAATTCATCCCCAGCTCCCTGAATCAGGACTGTCAAGAGCAGGTTCTGGGGAGTCAAGGACTTAAGGGGTCTAGCATGACTTTTTGGGAAAGTTGGGCACACAGCTGGTGGCAAGCCATGACAGTACAGAGTCAAACTGTGATAGGTTCTTGGGAGGCAGCAGCTCGCTACCCTCCATCCGGTACTGGCCTGTCACACTGGGAAGCTCGGGCCTTCAGGCCTGGCTGTTCTGCGGCGAAAAATCAAAACCCCTGTAGATGATAACAAGGAAGTGGGCAGTTCAGTTTCCCCTTCACCTGGAAAACAGTGCGTTGTTGGCTTCTGTAGGAATTCCCGCCGAGTCCCCGTCAAATCAGCCAATACGTACTAAACTGGTAAACACTGTGCCCCGAGCTGCGGTTTGCCCATTTCAAAATGAACAGTGGCCATCTCTGGGATGGGGTTGTGGGATGGAACAGAAATGGGGGAGAATTACGAGGAACAAACATGCGAAAGGTTACAGAAGAACAAATACACCTACCAGGGGAGTGCTGGAAGACGTCCCCAGAGGGCAGTTGGACTGATTCCAGGGGTTAGTGGAGGAAAGGAGAGAGGCATGTTCAATTGTCTGGAGGGGCAAAGAACCTGGCTGTTCGGAAGTTGGTTTCTGTTTGCCCTTTATTCATTTCCAGAGAACTATGGATATACCAAGTCAATGTGGAAAAATTAAGTCTTACTACTTTACCTAACGTTCTGATATGACATGTTAATGATAGACCCACTACTGAAGGCCTCTTAGCTGTTCGATGTCCCTGTTCTTTTGGAACCTGGAGGAGATCTTCCTAAAACATCAGGTGAAAACCTTCTCACTACAAGTTTGGCAGTCTGGGTTCTGTGCAACTCTGAGAGCAAGTCCCTCGGTTGACCTCAGTTTTCTATATTTCTCCACCTTGCCTTACAGGGCTTCCCGATTAAATGTGATCATTTATAATTTTATTTTTCTTAAAGATTTTATTTTGTGCAAGTGGATGTTTTGTCTGCATTTACATCTGCACACCAGAAGAGGGCATCAGATCCCACAGGACTACAGTTATAACCGGTTATGAGCTGCCACGTGGGTGGTGGGAATTGAACTCTGGATCTCTGGAAGAGTAGCCAGGCCTCTTAACTGCTGAGTTATCTCTCCGGACCCTGATTTATAACTTTAAAAGATTTTCTATATACAGAAGAGTGGCTTTTAAATAAGTGTGTGTGCGCATGCATGTGTGTGTGTACGTCAGATTGAATGTCAGCTGTCTTCTTGCACCGCTGCTTTTCACTGAACCAGAAGTTCACTGTTTCGGCTAAGCTGGCCGGCCAGTGAGCCCTGGGAATCCTCCGGTGTCTGCCCCTCAGTGTTGGAGTTACAGGCATACACAGCAAATGCTTTTACCCATTGAGCCATCTCCTCAGCTTCTGATGACTTTAATATTTTTAACTGAAACTTGGAGTAGGAAATTTATCTCAGGACTGGCAAGATGACCCTGCTTGCCACCAAGTCTGGTGACCTAAACTCAATCCTAGGAGCCTACATGGCAGAAGGAGAGAGCCAGTTTTTATAAGCTGTCCACTGACACACAATAAATAAATAAACACAATAAAAGTTAAAAAGAAATGTGTATAACTAAACAATACATATGTGATGTTTTGCAAGATTTCCTATTCTATTAAAATTGATATTCACATGGCTGCCATATATATATATATATATATATATATATATAAAATCACAGGCTTGGCATCTTAAATAACATGTTTTTCACTTTGTGGAGGCTGAGAAGTCCAAGATCAAGGAACTGTCTGGTTTGCTTCTTGCTGAAGACCCTCTTTCTGGCTCAGACACAGCCTCCTTCTTGCCCTGTTCTACATGGCAGGGAGAGGTTTTCCCTCCTTTTCCTATGAGTACTAACTGATTAGGGCCTCATCCTATGGTCTCTCTAAATTTTATTATCTCCTAGGGTTCCTCTCTTGAAATAGCACCCATGTTCCACTAATGTTGTTGTTCTTAATAGCCAAGAGTAGAGCCAGAGGTGAGGAGTATAGATTTTGGTTCTAAAGCAGTGGTTTTTAACCTTCCTAATACTGTGACCCTTTCATACAATTTCTCATGTTGTGGTGACCCCCAACAGAAAATTATTTTAGTTGCGACTTCATAACTGAATCATAATGTAAATATCTGTGTTTTTTGATGGCCTTAGGTGACCCCTGTGAAAGGGTCAGTCCACCCTCAGAGAGGTCGTGACCCACAGGTTGAGAACCTATGCTCTAAAGGAACACTTGGCAATGTCAGGGGATGTTTTGGATCATCATAACCAAAGGGCTGCTGCAGGGATGTAGAGAGTAGAAGTCAGAGATGCCATCTAAAGGGCTAAGGTTGAGAAAACTCTACACTAGTGACTTGGGGCTCAGTATTATAATGATTGTTTGGGAGTACTATGAGTACCAAAATGACACTATTTAATTTCTTCTTCCCCAGAGTAAGATGTTTATTTTCCCAAGGTCAGGGCTAATGAGAAAGAACGAGCTAATAAAACATTACTGTGTGCCTAGTACATGCAAGTTGTTTACGTAATATTTAATCCCCCCACAGCCCAGTGGGCCTGCATAGACATTTGCTTTTCTCACATAAACTGAGATCCAATAGACTTAAGTTATTTGCAAGGTTGTTCAAATAGTCATTCAAAAGCCAGAAGTATAACCTCTATGTCTTTGGTTTTCTAGAAGTAGGAGAGAAAGAAGCACAGGGCAAATCTATACTTCTCATATAGTATCTAGTTATGAATACCAGCAAATCTTTGTTATATGGATACTTATTTGGGTGCAAATAGCTAGTTGTAAATTTTAAGTGTGTGGGTGTGTGTGTTTGTAAGTCAAAGGACAACTTGTGGGACTTAGGTTTCTCCTGTTACTTCGTGGGTCCCAGGGAGGAAATGTCAATCAGCAGACATGGCGGCAAGCACTTTTACTCACTTGGCTCAATCACTTTGATTTTATTTATTTATTTATTTATTTATTTATTTATTTATTATGTATACAATATTCTTTCTGCGTGTATGCCTGAAGGCCAGAAGAGGGCACTAGACCTCATTACAGATGGTTGTGGGCCACCATGTGGTTGCTGGGAATTGAACTCAGGACCTTTAGAAGAGCAGGCAATGCTCTTAACCACTGAGCCATTTCTCCAGCCCCACTTTTGAATTTTGTTGCATGTAAGAAACTTCTGAATGTCGAGAAATATGGGCTTATATTCTTTGTGTTTTGAGATATGGTCTCATGTAGTGTCAGGCTGCATTTAAACTCCTCATCCTACTGCCTCTACCTCCCAAGTGCTGGGATTACAGCATGTGCCATATGCCTGTTTCTGTGCCGCTCTGGGAATTGAAGTGAGGACTTCATGTATACTAGGCAAGCACCAGAACAGCTAGGTCTCCAGCCATCACTCTGGCTTTAACAATAAGAAGTCTAATCCCTTGTAGGTGAGATATGTGTGGTGTAACAGTGAGCATTAGTCTAGGAAAACAGTAGGAGGAGCTCTTGTCTTTCAAATGAAAAGGATGTTTAAATAAGTCTGATAATTAAATTTACGGCACAGGCACAAAAGCTATAAATAGAATACAAATAGTATATTAAAAGTGTGTAGAAAAGTCAACATGAATGAAGAATTTCTAGTTTCTAAATTTTAGTCAACATCTTTTTCTTAAAAATGTTTTATGTTTATTTAGTTTATTTTATGTGTGAGTGTTTTGCTTTCATGTATGTATGTGTAGCATGTGTCCTTGGAGGTCAGAAGAGACAGTGTTGGATCCCCTGGAACTGGATTTATGGATAACTGTAAGCCACCATGTGGGTTCTTAGGCACTGAACCTGAGTCCTCTGCAAAAGCAACAAGTGTTCTTAACTATTGAGCCATTTCTCCCACTCCCAAATTATTTTCCATGTAATATTTTCTTTACATCTTCGAAATTTTCATAATTCATATAATGGACTTAATCAAAATTCTTTTAAGCTGAGGAATGATGAGTGAGGTGAAAGGCACATGGGACCGAGGCATACACACAGGTAGTGCAGTTGGTAGAGTGCCTGCTGGCACAAGCCTTGAGTTCGATCCTCCGCACTACATAAACCCAGAGCGGCAGTGTATGCCTGTAATCTGTGCACTTGGGAGGGCGAGGCAGGACTCTCAGGTCATCTTCAGCTACTACTTTGAGGACTGTCTCCAAAGAGGAAAGAAAAAAATGAAATGTGGAATTGAATTAAGGATATTTGAATAAACTTATTCTATGCTATTTTTTCAGTACTGATCTCAAACCCAGGGCCTTGTACATGTTCAATAAGCACTTTTCTGCTGAGCTAAAGCCTCAGCTCTGTAGCAGTAAAAGTAAGTTAAGTAAGCGCTTAGAAAATTAGAATACAGGGCTGGAGAGATGGCTCAGTGATTAAGAGCATTGCCTGCTCTACCAAAGGTCCTGAGTTCAATCCCAGCAACTACATGGTGGCTCGCAACCATCTGTAATGGGGTCTGGTGTCCTCTTCAGGCCTGCAGGCATAGACACAGTCAGAATATTGTATACATAATAAATAAATAAATAAATAAATATTAAAAAAAGAAAAATTAGAATACTAAGTAAGATGCAAGACAGAATATAAAGAAAACATGTCAACTGTACAGTAACAGTTACCTTGATGATGATACCAGACTCTAAGGGTAAAAACAGGCTGCCCCATTGTTAGAAAAACTCCCATTATCATAAGCTATTTCAAAATGTTATCTTGACATAAGTGATTCTAATTGTTAATAAATAAATGTATTGATCAGATTATATTTATTGAGTTAATTTTATAATGCCAATATTAGTTTTACCTAAAATAATACATTAAACAAGAATTATAGTTCAGGCCTACTTTAGCAACCCCTTTAGTGTCCTCTTCTGAAAAATGGCACAATAATATTAATATAATCTACTTTTTTCAGTTTTTGTGAGAATTAAGGAAGACATTCATGCAGTTTTGTCAGTACACAACTGTGGTTGTATTGAGGCCTGGAATTTTAAGTGGTAGAGCTTACCCTGACGAATTACCATGGCAGATTTCTTTGTCTGCTTGACTGGAAGAAACGTGTTAGTGATCATTTACTAAGGCAGTGATCACAGACTTCAGTGGTCCTTGCTGCTTCTCGTGTGTCTCTAGCCCTATCGTGCTCTTTTTTTCTTAGGTGTCAGTTCTATAACGTATCCCTGCCCCCTGTGCATGTGTATAAATGTACATGTGTATATGTGTGCATGTAGGGGCTGGAGGGAAACCTCACATATGCACTTTTTTGGAGGGGTGGGGGGATAGGTGTCTTTACTGGTCTGGGAATCTCCTAGGTAGGCTAGACTGGTTGGCTAGCAAACCTCACATCCCAAGGATCTCTGACTCTCATCGCCATGTCTGGTTTTTTTTTTTTAAACCATGTGTTCTTGGGATCAAATTCCAATCTTCATGCTTGCAATACAAGCAGATACTGAGCATATTCTCTGCTCATCATCAAACCTCTGTGACTTCTACTCCACTGTTACTCACAGGTGATGACCTTGCTTGTAGGTCACTGAGAAAATGGTCACTTCATCATCTACTGCCCTACATCTGCCCCAAGAGTCTTCCCTTGGTAACTAGGTCCTAAAAAGCCCATTTCTCTGTCCTCTCACCCATGTCCACACTAGTAGTTCTCCCCGCTTCTGCAATATCCAGTTCTTTTTCTATTGTATTATTCCTGTCAGCAAGAATGCTGTAATGTACCCTGTGCATAGTAGACAGAATAATAGTCCCTCAAAGATACCCATATCCAATTTCCTAGGACCTCTGTTGAGTTATATTGCAAAAAGAATTAAGGTAAATAATGAAATTAAAGCTGCTAATGAGAATAGGTAGTTATTGTTTTCCTTAGTTATGATAAAAGATAAAGTAGATATAAATATTGTAACTGTAATTCTTGCTTGATAACGGTTTTGTTATATGTAATTTTACTATGTTAAAGTGAGCGCCTTTCTTTTTTGTTTAAACAGAAAAAGGGGAAATGATGTGGGAGAGTCTTCTGTCTGTGTGTTACTTTCATTGGTTAATAAAGAAACTGCCTTGGCCCTTTGATAGGACAGCAGCTTAGGTAGGCAGAGTAGACAGAACAGAATGCTGGGAGGAAGAAGCAGATTTAGGCAGACACCATTCCTCTCCTCTCAGAGATGGACGCAGGTTAAGATCTTTCCCAGTAAACCACCACAGATTACTACTACCTGTGTACAGATTATTACCACAGATTACCATGGTGCTACACAGATTACTAACTATGGGTTAAAGCAAGATGTGAGAATTAGCCAATAAGAGGCTGGAACTAATGGGCCAAGCAGTGTTTAAATGAACACAATTTGTGTGTTGTTATTTCAGGGCATAAGCTAGCCAGGTGGCCGGGAGCCAGGAGGCAGGAACGCAGCCCGCAGCTTCTTCTACAAATGACCTGGCCTTAAATTAAGAAGATTATCCTGCATTGTTCCATTGTGACAAATGTCACAGAGTTTTCAGAGTGGAACATGGAGGCAGAGGAGATCAGAGAGTGATGTGACTGTAGGCAAATGGAGAGATGTAGGTGGTTGGCTTCAAAGGGGCAGGAGGAGCCTTTAACAGATGGGCCTTTGGGGAACACTTACCTAACAGGAAGAGTAATACTTACTCCTATCTTTCTTTTTCCCAGAGAAAGAGATCATATGAACCTCATGGAACTTCCCAGCAAGTGGGCTCAACCCCACTGAAATCAGTACCTTGAGAAAAGGCTGCATTAGCACCTGTAAATATGCTCTGGCTTTAGGCTGAATTCTCCTTTCCAGAGAAGCAATGGCAGATGAAAGTAATATCTCATCTATGTAACTTGTAGGCACTTCACACAGAATACCTCTGTTTCTGTTGACCACAGAGCGCCAAGTCAGTGAAGCACTGTTCTTGGTGCTGGTTCCTGCCCACGAAAGCCACGGACCCAGAGGTTAATCTGAAGGGCTTCCCTAGGTCGGGGTTCTTCAGTGGCCACCTGTGCGCTCCACACATTACTTGGGTAAGGAAGAAGAAAACACTATGAAGGTGGATTTGCTGCCCAGAGAACCTTCTTTTGTTTGTGTTCCCAGTGCCACCTGAACACAGTAAAACTTTCGGCTGTGCACCATAAAATTTGGGGCAAAAGCAGTAGAAAAGACACAGGGCATTTTGGGGAGTAGTTAAATAGATGATGAGAGCCATCCTGTTTGAAACTCAACCAAATTGAATGTCATCAAACTTCTTTTGGTCTCCTAAGTCCAAAATGAAATTTCTTCAACCACATAGATGGTCAGATTAGCCATGGAGGGGTTAGATACTGTTTAGATAGATAGGCTCAATTGTTGGGACACAGATGTGAGCCTGTTCCACCTTGTCTGAAGGCCAGAGAGTCTGAGCTTAATTTTTGCTCTTTCAAAGTTGTTAACAGGTGTAGCCTGACCTAGGGTGTGGTTACTTGGTGTTTTGGACATTAAGATGACCGTTAGAGGTGGATCTGCTCCATCCTGACCAAAGGTCAGAGAATTCAAGCATACTCCTGTAGTCCTTCATTTAAAATAGGAGGGTTGGCATAGGGAGTGACTGCCTACAGGATACTTGGTCTAGGGTGTGTTCATTGCTACAAGCATCAAATGCTTTACTCAGGAAATAGTGACTTGATGTCTCAAGTATTGAAGCAAGTAACTGTTCTGGTTGTCCTTTGTGTCATGTTAAAGCAGTCTTTTTCTTTCTTTCCCCCTTTTCTATTGAGTTATAAAAGCGTATGAAAAATAAACACGGGCAAATTCAGCATTCAGTGTTCACTGAATTGCCCTCCTGGTACTATTCTGTGTCTCTGTGTTTCTTTCTTATCTTAGCATTTATAATTCACACACCTCCACCCTGAAACATATGAAGCTGGTGTAGCCAGGACTATGGCAGAAGTCACCCCAAAAGGTGGCTCATGGCACTCAATAAAATTTATTATCCAAGGCAAAAGAGGACATTAAAGAAAATGCTTAGCTCCACTACATTAATTCCTATTGTAACTCTATTTCATAATAATTTCATATAAAATGCCTCATTAAAGACCATGTCTTAACATAACTTTAAAGTGTTATAAATGAACAAAATTCCACTAAGCCAGATGCTACTAAGTTTAAAAACAGAAAATTGGCCAAGGGCTGAAAAATGGTAAAAATTTGAAACTAGGAAGCTCAATACCTCTTTTCCCAAGTGCAATAAACAATGATGGAAGATATCTTTTCAACATGAAATACTGTTGGAAAATAAAATAGAGAAACTGAGGCCCATCTGCCTCTGTCTCCCAAATCCTGGGATTGAAAGTGTGTGACACCACTGCATGGCCTCTAGTGGCTTAGTTTTATCTTCTGGTCTCAGGCAAGCTTTATTTATAAAACATGAATAAAGATCACTATAGCGTGTAGTGGCATTTCATTTGTATAAATAAAGTTTGCCTGAATATCAGAAAAGTAAAACAGCCACTCTGTCCAGCCTTATATACCAGGCAGCAGTGACACACACCTTTAAATCCTGGTAGCCACACTAGCTTCCCATAGAAACCAGGCAGTAGTGGTGCACGTCCTTAATCCCAGAACCAGAGAGAACTGTAAGACGGGAGGAGACAGCTCTCTCTCACAGTCTCATCCTGAGTTTTCTTGGAGGCAGGATCGCCATTCGTACTGAGGTCAAAGCTCAGTGGCTTGCTGCTTTGCTTTTCTGGTCTTCAGGTTGAGCCGCAGTATATGTTTTGGGTTTTTATTAACTGTGATTTAATAGTGGGTCCTTATAGCATGCCCGAACTGGATTTAAACTTCACTCTGCCCTCTATAATTTTGTGACCTTTAGTGACTTTAAAGAGCTAGAGAAGCAGCTCTGCTAAGCTCCCTGAACTCTAATTTTCTCATTTATACCTGGAGATAATAAGTATCTTTTAGAGATTTGGGTTGTTTGTTTGTTTGTTTTTGTTTTTTTGGTTTTTCAAGACAGGGTTTCTCTGTAGCTTTGGAGCCTGTCCTGGAACTAGTTCTTGTAGAACAGGCTAGTCTCAAACTCACAGAGATCTGCCTGCTTCTGCCTCCCAAGTGCTGGGATTAAAGGTGTGCACCACCACTGCCCGGAGAGATTTGGTTTTAAAAAAAGTTAACATTTGTTTTTGTAAAGAACCAGTATGGTATGCAATATACAGGAGTTCTCAGCAACGATGGCCGTTTATAACAGCTTAATGGTGATATAAAAAAATCCACCTATAAATCAACATAACTCACATATATTTTGAAAAAATATGTCACCCAGGAGGAAATCCAAACAGGATTTCCAGCCCCGCAAAGAAATTTATAATACATTTAAAAATAGATGTCTCTTACATCTATTGAATGTTTGACAAAATAATCCAAACATTCTCTTTTTTTTTTTTTGGCTTTTGCTTTTGAGACAAGCTAGCCTTGAACTCATGATCTTCCTGCTTCAACCTCAGTGATTGCTCCTATTATAAGTGCATGTCACCACACTGGGCAACATTGTATTATTAATGGAGTACTGAGTAACAGTATGGTACATTTGGTTTCTGGCACTATACATCAGCCTGATTTTTCCAAATGGCAGTCTCGTAAAACATACCCTGGAACTCATAATACCATCTGGAAAAACACTTCCTAAGGAAATAATTGAAAAAGAAACTTTTGTTTGTACAGGTATTTGTAGCTTTCTTTTTAGTTCCAGACTTTTGTGACTTTAGAACTAAAAGAGGTGAGATGATTTTTCCCTCTTATGTTTCATGCCGGAATCATTTTGGAGCTTTTAAAAAGCATTCATGTCCATTCCAAAGATTCCCAGTTAATTGTTCTAGAATACAGCCTTGTCCTAAGTATGGTTTAGAGCTGCTCAGATGAGCCTAACATGTATCCAGGAAAGAGAATTGCTCTTGCTCCTCCCTATCAAGGGGCCTGAGAAAATACAAGAACCAGAGAGATTAAAAGGCCTCACAGAAGAAAACATGGGTGATGGAAGACCTAGGTGAAAATGAAGATTTACCTACTGCCTCCTTCCAATTGCAAATCCCAGAAGCACCCATGTGCTTAGCATTTAGACTAGGCAACAAAGTACAGGAGTAATACGATGCGTTCGGCAATACTACTAAACGGATGGCTATGGGCAGGATGGAAAGGAATGCATGCAGCTTGATAACCACAGTGACCAGGGTCCACACTGCCCCTTATGCAGAGCAGCAATTGTTTCTGCTGGTACTGTTGCCTCCTTTTGGGGGAGCACAGCTCTTTGTTGCCCTTCTCGGATTTACTAGAGGCAAGTCCATCTGTTAGAAGGGTGGGGCTCTGAGCATCCAGTACTCATAGGTGGTGAACTGGCCATTTTACTGCTTTGTGGCATGAAGTATGCTGCTCTCACTCATCTCTAGAACTTTTCACCTCTCCCAACCAAAATTTCACACCCATTAAATACACCACCACGGTTCTGTCTCCATGAATCTGACTCTTAGAGATAGGCCCAGCCCATAGTGGTTTGGCTGGCTCCATCACCAGCTCTGGAGACAAACAAGGCAGATAGTACTGAAAGCTGATCTGTTACTTGTCTGTTGCTCCTGGGCCTGGCTGTTTCATTGTTCTTCTTTTTCCCATCTCTGAGTAGTTCCTGGTTCCTTATCAAAGAGCCATTATATGTCAAGAGACATGCTAGATACTGGGAGTCCTATACAGAGAGACCAGCTTCTGTCTGTAGGTAATTCATAGCACAGGAAACAGAAACACAAACACACTGTTTACATATCATATGATATATATATATATCACTTATACATATTATATATATATCATATCATATCATATCATATCACAGTCTAGTGGGATTGGGGACATTTCCCCAAGGGGATGACAAGGAGTCCCCAAGGAGGGGAAGTGAAGCCAGGAAAGAAGTGTGCACGTGGTAGGCAAACTGAGAGGATGGCTCATTGGAGGGACTGAGGCATTCAAGCCCCAGAGCTAGGGGAATCGCAAGGACTTACCTGTGGTTGGAGCTCAGGAGCAGTTAGGGAAACAGAGGGGGTGGGGCTGGAGGAGTAGGCGGGCTCCAATGCCAAGATTCCCTACACTGTGCTAAGGAGGGGCCCTGGGAAGGTTCTAAGGGACAGAAGAAGGAATGAGCTGTCTGCACATGTCCTGGGCCCCCAGCTGTAGCCCTGATTTTGCCTTGGCTTCAGGACCTGGTTTACTGTAGTTCATCACAGTGCCCAGGCTTTCAGACAGTGTGTCTTAGTACTGACGCATGAGTGGATCACAGCTCTCAATAATTCTGACAAATTACATGTAATGTGTCGGTTAGTCTGGAAAATAAAGGGATTCATGAGTGAAATGTGGTTCTAATTGCTAATGCCTTTGTGTGGAAACAGTGATGAAGTCATCAGGCTTCTCAAAATGCCACATTTTGTAATTTTCTGTCTCTGGAATTCAAGCATGTTATTTGATGACACACATTAGTTGATAATGAGAGGAAAACATTACAGCCCGAGTCAAGCAAAGATTCTGTCAGAATCACAGGAAGGGGGTTGGGGCAAAGTGAAAGAGAAAAGGAAAGAGCCAAGCAGATTAGTGTTTAGCCACAGGAGAACTCAACATGCACAGAGCCCTTCATTTATCAGTGGTGAGCACAAGGGCGTGGTGAGAGCTGAAGGGCATGGTGAGAGCAGAAGGGCGTGGTATGAGCAGAAGGGCGTGGTGTGAGCAGAAGGGCGTGGTGTGAGCAGAAGGGCGTGGTGTGAGCAGAAGGGCGTGGTGTGAGCAGAAGGGCGTGGTGTGAGCAGAAGGGCGTGGTGTGAGCAGAAGGGCGTGGTGAGAGCAGAAGGGCGTGGTGAGAGCAGAAGGGCGTGGTGTGAGCAGAAGGGCATGGTGTGAGCAGAAGGGCGTGGTGAGAGCAGAAGGGCGTGGTGTGAGCAGAAGGGCGTGGTGAGAGCAGAAGGGCGTGGTGAGAGCAGAAGGGTGTGGTGAGAGCAGAAGGGCGTGGTGTAAGCAGAAGGGCGTGGTGTGAGCAGAAGGGCGTGGTGAGAGGAGAAGGGCATGGTGTGAGCAGAAGGGCATGGTGTGAGCAGAAGGGTGTGGTGTGAGCAGAAGGGCGTGGTGTGAGCAGAAGGGCGTGGTGTGAGCAGAAGGGCGTGGTGTGAGCAGAAGGTCATGGTGTGAGCAGAAGGGCGTGATGTGAGCAGAAGGGCATGGTGTGAGCAGATGAGTGTGGTGTGAGCAGAAGGGCATGGATCAAGGTTAAAACATAGTGTAGTTACTTTCTCATTATCTTAGGGGTATATTAGAGTATCTTAGAGTATATTATAGGTAGTTGATGTTCAGGGCATGGAACCTGCTTACCATTTAAGACATTGCCCCACAAGCCAGGTGGTGGTGGTGCACACCTTTAATCCCAGTACTCGGGAGGCAGAGGCAGGTAGATCTCTGTGATTTTGAGGCCAGCCTGGTCTATATAGCAAGTTCCAGGACAGTCAGGGCTGCTATACAGGGAAACCCCTGTCTCAAAAACAAACAAACAAACAAACAAAAAAAAAACCAACCAACCAAACAAACAAAAAAACTAAGAAAGATATTGTCCCATATCTCTGCCCTCATTTGCCCCCAGACAGTGTAGTCTAGGAAGAGAGGTGTCAAGGCCAGGGTTTGTGTAATGGTCTGTCTTGTCCCTTTAAGAGACAAGCCCCACCCACTCCCCCCAGTCCCCTGAGGCAAGTGGACCTTCCTTCCTTCTTTTTTATCTCTCTTCTAAAG